CCCGCCTGCTCGGCCACCCTTATGGAGGGACCCCACTGCCGCCCCATGGCCTCGGGGACCGAACACCCAAGGCTTGCGGGAGAACGACGGCGCCAACCAGGACCCCCGAGGGGCGGGCGACCCTGAGCAGAGCAACCCACGGCTGGACGCAAGAGGTACAAGTACCGGCTTCCTCATCGTGCCCGATTGGCTAAACTCCACTGACTCCCACCCGATTGGCTGGGCATAGCCCCGAATCCTGATTGGCTACTAAGTCCGATTCCTTCCTGTCCCCGCCCTCCTTGGGTTGTTCAACCTGTGGGATTTTAGAAGCAGCTGTGCCCTAGGACCAGCCCTGGGAGAATGACAGACGTGTGGCGTCACGAGGGAATGAGGTGAGTTGCGAGGAGAGGAGGGTGGGTCCCGCTAGCCCAGCCTCTTCGGGTTTGCAGGGTTTAGGGAACAGGAATGAGCGCTGACGTGGCTAGAGGCGCCCAGGCCTTGACAAGAGCTGTCAGCCTCCGCACAGGGGTAGGACCTTTACCCTTCGAGCCCGGTGGGCCAGGGAATAGTCAAGGTGTACGTTGAAATTTTGAAAGCAAACCCTACAGCAGTCCACTAGGGGGCGTGAGACTCACGTAATTACCTGTAGGACCCTTTGTTGCCAAAGCTCCAACACGACAAATCTCAGGGAAGGTGGGTGCTCTAAATTAACTGTCTTTTAACTGATGAACAGTAGCTAAAGTAGAAAAACGAATCAAATAACCCTTAATTCAATGTACATGTTTCACAGAATGACATTTATAATCGCAACTCAGGATTTATGTAAGTCAGAGGCCAAACCCTTTTTTTCTAAAAGTCCAGAATGGAAACAGTCCAAGTTTTTACAAGCCTTTAATTCTGCCTCAAAATACTCTGCAGTTATAACACACAAAAGCTGAAGGTGGTGACTATATTAAGGAAATTTATAAATTTTTATAAATCTGAATTTCATTTAATTTTCATGTGTTACAAAATAGTATCTTTTTTTTCAACCATCTAAAAGTGTAAAAACCAATCTAAGCTTATAGGAGAGAACATGGCCAGCAGGAGAGCCTTGGCCCACAAACTACAGTTTCCCTACTCTAATTTAGGCTACCATAAAACTTCCTACGTTTGGAAAGAAATATCCTTAAGGACAGGTGAACATCAAGATGTATATTTGGGGAACTTCGGGATATCCCCAGTCACCACAAGCAAGATATTTTCTGAAGGTCTGCTGTTCCATCACTGTATCATGAAAACACGTTTCATTTTTATAACTAGCACACGTCAGCACTGACATAATATTCCGTTGTTTTTTAAGAGTTTTTGCATGGATTCTTTGAATAAAATGAGTATTGCTTGGCATATCCCCAGCACAGCACAAGGTATGTTCCCAAAGCTCCTGGTGACACAAACCTGTTTATGTTTTCAAGACTAAAAGTGAGCTGTCTTCCCATAGAAGGCACTGTCTTTTTTTGGGTTTGTGGCACAAGATAGCTTAATCACAGCAAAGTCTCTTACCTAACCCAACTTCCTACCAATTAAGACGTTTTCTCTCTAGAGTCGTTAATTCTCCCTTAATGACACTCAAGCCTCCAGCGTGAACTGTTATGTGACAAGTTTCTGTGCTAACAGCAGATCATAGTACAGCGAAGTCCCAAGTGACTGCCAGTAGCAGCCAGGACCCACTGAGGGCAAGGCTCCACTGACTTGGCCTCAAACAAAACAAATCCATTTACTCACTGAACCCATGCATGGCCTCCTGTTATATAGCAACAAGGACAGGATACCACCAATGAATTCTTTAGTTGGAAAGGACTTGTTGCAATTTGTTTCCCAGGTACTTGTCCTAATGCTTTAGTTGTGGAATCTCATTTGAGGTTTTCCAAAAGCAAGGCATCAGGTGGGTGTGGTGGCACACAGCTATAATTCCAGCACTCAGGATGCTGAAAAGAAAGATCTGGAGTCTGAAGCCAGCCTGAGCGACAGCAAGTTCAAGACCAGCCAAAGCATGAACTACATAGCAAGACCCTGTTTCAAAATGATGAATAAAACCAAGGCATCGTACGTGCCTATTAAATGCACAGGCAGAGACTCCCTCCCATCTTTGCCAAGGGTAATATTCAATCCTCTCCAATACTGTTGACAATGCTGAGTGAAGCATAGCTGAACAGGACTGTACTCCCCAGCATTCATCGGCCACCCCCAACCCTGCTGCAGAGACAACAACCCGGGGTCAGCAGGCTGCTCCAAGGCTTTCAGACAGCACTGTTTGCTACCTCTGGTGGCCCAGCATATTCTTCCCTGATAGCAAAATTGAGGTCTCACATCCACCCACCCTACATATTTATTCCTCTACATAGCGAAGAACTTCGTTTTCCCTCCCCCAATCAAAACATGCTTTATGCTCAAACGGAGAACAAATCAATGGCAAAAAAGCAACAAATAGGAAGTTTGTTTAAGTTTTTATTAAAATGCTTAGGATACAGACTTTCTTTGTAAATGACCCTTTTACTTTTCCTGAAATAGGACATATGTGCACTCTGATAAAACAGAATGAGAGGTCTCGATTCATGGCAGCTCCTGTCCGAGGCTGTGCTCCTCGTGGCAGCCTCTTCCAGCTACCTCAGATACCAGTGGTGTTCTTGGGGAAAAGACAGGCTGGTGCAACATGACTTTTCAATCCTCTTTCTCCGGTGGCCAAAATAAACCACTTTCACAAAGAGCTGCCCTATTTAGGGCCAACAGTTTTCTAGCTTGTTACAAAGTGATTAGGAGCAGGTAGGAAAAAAGAAAAGAAAAGAAAACTAACACTGAAGAAATCACACCTCTCATGTCCCTGGACAGAGTATGGGCAACCTTGAGCCAAAGGAAATAAAAATATGCAAGTTAATTGCCCAGTTCATCCACTGTTAACTAGATTTGTTCATGTAAGGCTTTTCTCCTTTCCAAACCAGCAATCTCGTTCTAATCCACCCATGCCCACCATCAATGCAATGCATGCCCTTCCCAGGCTCAAACCTCACTGAGCCTCTAAGTTCCATACTTGATACCAAAAAGAATGCTTTCCCAACAGATCAGTACTGAAGCCCAAGAATGAGAGATCCTACCAGGAGTATGTTATCCCCACCACCTCCCATGGGAAGCAGGAATACCCTGAAGCGAGTTCCATCCTCTGCCAAGAAGCATCATCGCAATTTCCAATTTCAAGGAAACTACCTCTGACTTTTTATTAAAGGGAAAACCAATAAAGATAACTTATCCTAAACCATCTCCTAGCCTTTCATCTTTCCTACCAGGGTAGGTTAAGACTACGAAAATCCAATTTTGCAAGTGGCATTACGGAAATGGAATGCTAGAAAAATAATGCTTGTAGCCCTCATGGGGCTACTGCTTTCGAACTGGGAGATCACTGACGTAAGGGAGGTGGCCTCCAAGGGAAGAGCTCTACAGAAAGTCCTTGTGCAAAAGTTTTCTCCAGCTTATTTCTGGAACAGGCAAGGACAATTTCATACCAAAAAGAAAAAAATCTGGAAAAGCTACAGATGTTGACCTTTACTTTAAACACCAATAGATAACCAATAAGGAGGAAAAGATATAAGAAAATAACAGCTCATAAATAGAGAAATCAATTAATTTTAAATCCCACTGAAAGTGTCTCCTACATTCACTGAGATGCCAAGTCACCCGATGTGTACATCCTCACAAACCCTCTGAGAGCTCTGTCCTGTGCCCTCCTATTCAGAACACCCCATACCCCCATCCCTACGATGGCAAATGAGGAACACCAGCAGCACGTGACTGCATGAGAGATGTCCTCGACTTTTTATTAACGGAAAATAAGGTGCTACAGAGAAAAATGAAATTTCACAACAGTATAAAAGCAAAGCTGGGCTAAAATTTGTAACATTATAAGCAAAAATAATAACCTTTATAATTAACTCCTCCACAATGAACAATCTGGTACTCACTCCGTAATGAGGAACAACTCTAGCTGACCACAGTGGACACTTGCCACAACCATGAGAACAGGGCTATACCCTCCCTCGCTCTCCATGCCAAGCTGATGCTGCCTCCTTCAAGGCAGTTACGGAGACAAGGAGCGCAGGGGAGGTCTCACCAGCCTGCTAACTCAGAAGTAAGTTCTCCCCTCTGAGCTCTGGCCTCCAATGTACATCTGTTCATAATTTCATGAAATATCTAAATGCTATTCAATAGTTAAAAAAAAAAAAGAATAGAAAACTCTGGACCAAGTAAATTGTAACTCAAAAAGTTGAAAGGGGTATCAATTACATTAACAATGCTTTCTTTAAAAAATAGAATCACTTTCTTTTGAAATCAACCACAGTGGTGAGACGTGTTTTTCTTCTCAGGTGTCCCATGATGGCACACAGCTTTACCTGGCAAATCCTGCCAGCTTCCGAGTCCCGGGATACTGGCTCACACCAGCACGTGGGGCAGTATTACCTTCCAACAGTGTGGAGAAGAGCACATGTCACCACTGGGCGATGAGAGTTGACAGACTCTTGGCTTCTCACGCCAGACATGGTTGGAGAGCTTTCCTTGTTCTATTAGAAAAGTTCATGAGGAAGCTGTGAATAGGATCAGTCCAGAGGAGTAAAACTCTTTTATTTTCACTGTCCCAATATCAGTCAATGTACTGGGAGAGCCAGCGGAAGCCCTCGCCATAGCCTTGCCTCTTGAGAACACTGCACATAAACACTTCCATGGGGCGGGCATTCAGCTCCTTCAGAGTCACGTTCCCCTGAAGAGGCAAAACCAAGAAGGCCCATTAGCATCTCTGCATCAATGGACGATTGCTTGCATAGCAAAAGAAACCACCAACAGACTTAAGAGACAACCCAAAGAATGGGAAAAATTGTTTACCAGCTACTCCTCAAAAGACTAATATCAAGAATATATACCAAAAAAAAAAAAGAATCCAAACCAAAAATGGGCATCTGAAATGAATAGACACTTCTCAGATGAAGAAGTACAGATAGCAAATAAATATATGAAAAAATGTTCAATATCACTGGTCATTCGTGAAATGCAAATTAAAATATCGAGATTCCATCCCATTCCACAAAGAATGGCTATTATCAAGAAATCAATAATAAGTGCTGGAGAGGCTGTGGGGAAAAAGGAACCCTTCTCCACTGTTGGTGGGAGTGTAGACTGGTGCAACCACTGTGGAAATAAGTGTGGAGATTCCTCAAAAAACTAAATCTAGAGGTTCCATTTGACCCAGCTATTCTCCTAGGTATCATCCTAAAAGAGTTAAAACCATCACAGCACAGTGATATATGCACACCCATTTATGGTGACACAACTTGTAATAGCTAAATCTTAGAAACAGCCCATATGCCCATCAATAAATGAATAGATAAAAATGTAGTTTTGTATACGAGTACTGCTGTTATAAAGGATAAACTGGAGACATTTTTAGGTAAATGGATGCACCTGAAGATCATAATTTTAAGTGAAATAAATCAGACATACAAGTTTAGAATAGCATTGTTTCTCTTGTATGAGAAACCAAAAGGATAAATATGGAGCAAAATGGACAACAGATAATTGGGAAATAGGAAGGACATACTCAAATGGAAAGGAGAAAAAGGGAGGGTTAGTGATGAATAAATGATTGCTCTTAATAAGGTGAAATCACCAGGCAAAAAACTTGATTTGAAAAACTAAGTAGTATTCTTTCAAAACAGATTTCTCAGAATTAAATTTGAAAAAAAAATTTTAAATAAAATCTCAAACTAGGTGCGATGGCACATGTCTGCAATCTCAGCACACAGGAGGTTGAGGCAGGACTGCCACAAACTGGAGGCCAGACTGGGCTAAATAGTGAGTTGCAGCCTAGCTTGAACTACACAGCAAAACCCTGTCTCAAAAAAAAAAAAGTAATTTTTTAAATGAATAAAAATAAATACATAAATAAAATCAATCTCATTTCTATTGCACTACATTATATTTTCTTTACTTATTTATATCTAAAGACTGAAGAGATTATTATGGACTTATTCCCTAAATACATCAATCCCTGAACTTCGAAGACCTGGCACTAGCAGAGTAACTACTTTAATGAATTCACTCCCCAACTCACTTTTCCTGATGTAGATCCATGGTGTTTCTTTCTTCCTGGGCCCTGCTTGGTCTCAGTTTCTCAGCTGATTTCTCCTCTGGCCCAGCCTCTCCTCCCTCTTGTCCTTTGCTCTCTTCACCTCTAACTCCCTGCCTGCCCTTAGTCCCTCTGCTCCATAATGTTATTCCAGCTCAAATTTGATCATGAGAGTGGTTGGTCATAGTCCTCACTATGTCCTTCAAGGTTCCTCTTCTTCCTTCCCCTCACCCCACCTTCAGGCCTGTCCTAAAGAAAAAAAAAAAGTCTTTAAAAAAAATTTTCTTGGTCAGAGATTTAGCTCAGTGGTTCCGGCACCAGCCTCACAAGGGCAAGGGCCTGAGTTTGATCCCTGATACCCCCCGCAAAAAAGAATTGGGGGGCGGGGTTTGAGACAAGGTCTCACTATGTAGTTGAGACTGACCTGGAACTCACTATGTAGCCCAGGCTGGTCTCAAACTCACAGTGATTCTCTTGCCTCAGCTTCCTGCGTGCTGGGATTACAGGCGTGTGCCACCATGCCTGGCTATTTTTTTTTTTTTTTTGAGTCGAGGTCTCACTATGTAGCGCAGGCTGCTTCGAACACACAGGGGTCCTCCTGTCCCAGCCTCCTGAGTGATGGGATCAGAGGTGCACACCACCATGCCTGGCTAGGAAAAACAAAATTCGTGAAAGAGTAAGACTGCATACTTAGACTCCTTTCTACTTTGGAGGCTGAGGCAGGGAGATCCCCATTCAAGGTCAACCTGGGTAACTTTACAAGTCCTTATCTCAAAATGAATAACAAGGCCTGGGGATATAGCTCAGAGATAGAGCATTTGCCTAGTACATGCAAGGCCCTGGGTTCAATCCCAGCACTGTAAACAAAGAATAAGAAAATGGCAGGCCCGGCGTGGTGGCGCACACCTGTAATCCCAGCACTCCAGAGGCTGAGGCAGGAGGATCGCTGTGAGTTTGAGACCAGCCTGGACTACATAATGAGTTCCAGGTCAGTCTTAACTACATAGTGAGACCCTGTCTCAAAAAAAAAAAAAAAAAAGTTCCTGCCTTAAGTGAGCTTATAAAATACCTATACTAAACTAAATCCTAAGCCTGTTTAAGTTTTGAAAGAAGAGAAGAATCTAGACAGCCAAATTAATCAGTGTTAAATACCGCTATGTCCTTTCTATGCGTCTTCAAACCATGTCTCTTACCTTTCCTGTGGTCTGTCCATAAAGCCCAAATATCTCTCGGAGTTTTTCTTCACTGATTGCATCTGTTCTGTCAATTTTGTTTCCCAAGATAAGGATTGGCACATTGGATATTGTTTCATCAGTCATTAACCCCTAAAGACAGGATGAAAAGAAGCTAAGTGATGAACCTATAATAGCCTCTAGACAATGAAAACTTTGGCTTCTACTGGTCTTATAACATGTGCAATGTAAAAATCTGACCATCTCTATATCCGATTCAAGGTTCATCTTGACATTAGATGAAGAAGCTCTGAGTTCCTCGAAACAACTGCAGCTTAAGGCTGCCTGTGCACAGGGCAGCAGGGCTTCCCTACTCTTAACTCTGAGCCAGCTTGCTCAGCCACAAACTGTCCTCAGAACACCCGCTCTGCACAGCAGTGGAGGCAGCGCTCTGGCTGCAGACCCTCACAAGATGATTACAGGACATTCCTGGGTGTGGAATTAGGGCTTTGTGTTAACACAGCTAGGTGACAAGATAACGTGGTAGGTGATTGAGAGTCACAATGAAGGGAGACAGAAGAGTAATACTAAAAGAAGTTCAGGGAAATAAAATCACAATCACAGGCTTGAGGAAAGTCTTTGCAAAGATAGAGACCCAAAACTGAGCTCTAAAGAAAGGATAGGACTTTGGGTGAAGGGAGGTCAGGGACAAGGGGAAAAATGAGACCCAAGACCTGTCATGTAGAGGTACAAGATCCCAACAATGAATGTAACTGTACTGTATCCCTAAAATATACCAATAAACTCAAAGCTGAAAAAAAAATAGTAATAATAAAAAAGAAAGGATAGGACTTGGATAATAAAGACAAAGAACACACACAAACACACAAAAAAGACAGACAAAGAACACAACGGTTTTGCAGCAGGGTAAGAATTAGGAAACCATAAGGCATATGGCCTGCCTTGATCAAAGCATTCATATTGTTGGGAAGTAACAGAGTATATGGTTGGGAAGGAATAACCCACATGACAGTGTGCATCTGAAAAGCTAGCTACACTGATCCTATAGACCACAAATCCTGAAGTCAGTGAATAAAATCTGTACTTCCTGGACAATAAAAGTTCACACATAGTATCTATTCGTGGTGCTCATGTAAGAGGAGATGCCAGATGTGATAGCGTATGCCCACAACCCCAATGCTCAGGAGGCTGAGGCAGGAGGATCATTGCAATTCAAGGCCAGGCAATGCTACTTAGTGAGTTCAAGGCCAGCCTGATCTAAACAGGGAGACCCTGTCTCAAAAGGGGGGGGGGTCTGTACTCAGCATCACTTAGTGAATAGTACAGGAGGCATTATGGAGAAAAAAGTGAAGAGAATGTCTAAAGGATAAAACAGACAAAAAGAAATCAAAACCAACCCAGATTTTAAGACTGGGCATCTAATTCTCACTGACAGGAAAGCTAACAAAGAAAGCAGAACTGAAGGGACCAATGAGAATATGATTTGACATCTTGAATTACAGGAAATGTTAGCCAAAATCAGTATAAGGATGTTACTCAGCCATTAAGCAACAAAGTACCAACTATGCGTCCAATGCTTTGCTAGATACAGGGATTTCACAAAAAACATGGACAAAGTCCCTACTACACAGGTTCATAGTCTGGTGGGAGAGACCACTAAGAAAATTGGTAGAAAGACAACAGACACTGTCGTCTGAGAAGTCAGGGATGGTTTCCCACAAGTCAGGACACAACTCTGAGATTTCAAGAATATTTTAAAATTTAACAACAAAGGGCCAGCGATTTAGCTCAGTGGTTTGGTGGCCTGCCTTGCAAGCGCAAAGACCTGAGTTCAATCCCCGGCACCAAAATAAATAAATAAATAAATAAATAAAATAAAATAAAATTTAACAACAAAAAGGGTGGGACGGGCAGGTGGAGAAGCCAGGCAGGGAATGGCTACTTGTGCATATTCAAGGAAGGACAAGTTGTTCTTTGGATGGAATGTAATTTAACATAGGCAACAGAAAGAAAAGACGGTGGAGAGAAAAAACAGCCAGGCTGGTGGTGCATGCCTATAATCTCCGCACTTTGGAAGTTGAAGCAGGAGGATTGCTGTGAGTTCAAGATCAACCCAAGGTTAGCCTAGGCTACATAGCCAGCCTGAATTGCATAGGAGACCCTGCCTCAAAACAAACAAAACAAAAATTAAAAAAAAAAAAGAAAAGAAAAAACAACAGAAAAGATCACAAAAGATCATACGTGCTACACAAAAGATTTTCAGCTTTTTATCCTGAAAATGATAGAAACAGAAATAGAGAACTGTTAAAGGATAGTAAGCAGGGCAATTTTGCATTTTACAGTGCATGGCAGATGATGCTAGAATCTACAGAAATTCACGGATTTTTGGACTGCATGTTCAGGAAAGTGATGGGAAGATCAACAGTTCCACTCTAGGAAAACAGAAACAGAAAGTGGAAAGGTAACCATGTGATGGATCCAACAGATTCCAAGCTCTGGTGTACAGCAAGTAAAGAACTGCAAAGTGTACACTCAATGGTGAGGGAAAAACAGCTACATTTACTGAAGGTCACAAACAGAGAAATGGTACTGGGACAACAGAAAAGGAACACTGCCCACTGTGCAGATACAACAGATCAGGCTTTCAGCTTTAAGAACAAGAGAGAAAAAAAGGCAGCATGTGCTTTGGTCGGGGGTTACACAGAACAGTCCCAGGGCGGTGCCCAAGCTCAACTTAGTGGAGAAGAATGATTTCCTCAGCCACCCCCCACATTCTACCTGTACTAGAATGGTCTAGCAGGAAGCATCTTGTAGGAGGGACTGCAGGAGGTCTGGTCAAGAGAAATCCATCTGGAGTCACTGATGCAGGTGGAGAGATCGGCCTAGGAGGGCATGCAAATCCCGGGGAAGGTCTGGACAGAGGAACAGGTGCTTGTGAAAGAGACTGAGAAGTGTAAGCCAGACAGAGAGCACCAAAATCAGAGTGTAAAGGGGAGTTTAAGGAAACAGGGAGTGGCCTGTGCCAAGGAGAAAGGAAGGTAAGGGCTACCCTGCTCCTTAGGCAGCTCCACAAGACCATAGCTATGAACTTGAGAAAACATACTTAGAAACTGCCAAACCAGGGTAATGCAATGTTGACAAAGCAGAAAACCTAAAGACCTTGACTTGTATCAAAGGATGTATGGGACCACAAACTACAGCCTGAGAACAAGTTTTAAATCTGGCAAGTCATTCAAGAAGGGTGTGGGTAGGCACAACCTGGGAGCATAGATTAAAAAAATGTAAAGAACTGGAAGAAGCCAAGTGTGATGCACCTATAATCCCAGCACTCAGGAAGCTGAGGCAGGAGGATCACCAGTGTGAACTACATAGGAAGACCCTATCTGTAAAAAAAAAGTAAAGAAGTCCACTATCTTTTTTTAGGGTCTCACCATGCAGATATCCCACAAAGAATGACTGTACATAATACATGAAAGGGAACACTACCAACTATGCTGAGACAACATACTGAGGAGTGTCCTGAGCAAACTGGGCCATGCAGTCACCCTAGAATAAAAACCACAAAATTAACTTATTCAAATTAAAGCAGAGGTTCCTCAAGATATTACAAAATATCTTAGATTTAAAAACATTTTCTTCCTATACTAGGACTTTCACAGTGGTAACTGGAATGATTAAATATTGGTACTACCGAGTTGTCCTCCTTAAAAGAAACACAGGCCAAGAAAATGAAAAAATGTATACGTACATTAAGCTCAACTTTGGATTCCATGAGACGAGAATGATCTGCACAGTCTACCAGGAAGACAATCCCATTAATTGCTGGGAGATAATTTTTCCAAACTCGACGAGCTAAAACATAGATTTGTACTCACATCAACAAAAAATAAGTTTTGAAAATGAAAAACCTAGTGCTCTATAAAATAAGCAAATCTTGGCCAGTTTCAGTGACATTAAGCCCCATAAATTCTCTACATCCTGGCAGGTATTAAGTCAGAACAGAGGCTGCATGAGCCAAACCTGATCTTTATAAATTGCAGAGTGAGAGTTTCTGCCTTCCCTGAAAAACCATATCTGGCAATCATGTGCCAATGATCAGTCAGAGCTGAGCGGGCAGGGGCTGCCCCCTGGATGAGTCTGAGCTCTCAGTCAGCTCCTTAATCTCACACTTCTTCAATCTGACTCACTCACAGACTAGTCTTGTCCTTGGAGCCAGTGTTTGTACCCCGAGTTACCACATCCATACACTAATGACTCTGCTCCTCCAATAATTTTAGTCCCTAACTTACCAGTGTGTAGTTGGTACTCACACCGCTGCTCAGTCCGCAGGGAGGATCTGTACTGAGTCCTCTAGGGGGCTCAGCCTGATAGGTAGCTAAAGTCTCAGGGCCAGTTACTTAGCCTCCTGTATTTAACCCACTCCCCATAAGTTTTTTTCTTTTGTGACAAGAAGTGATAAAAGTTACATCGGGGTGTGGCACCTGTAGTCCCAACACTAGGGAGGCTGAGACAGAGGCTTACTAGAAATTCAAGGCTGGCCTAGACTACACAGTGAGCTCACAGGGAGACCTGTCTCAACCCTGTCCCCCAAAAAGAGAAGTGCTAAAAGTTGGGAAGTAGTGCTTTCACTATATTATTATTATTTTGTACAGGGGTTGAACTTAGGGTTTCACACTGGCTACACCCCCAGACTTATTTGATTTTTAAAATTTCAAGACCGGGCCTCACTAAGTCACTTAAATTGCCCACACTGGGCTCAGAGTTGCAATCCTCCTGTCTCCTACCTAGCTTGTTTTGTTGTTTTTTGAGACCAGGTCTCATTATGTAGTTCCAACCATCCTTGAACTCACTATGTAGCCCAGGGTAGCCTCAAAATCATGGCATACTCCTGCCTCAGCCTCCCCAGTGCTAAAATTACAGGTATGGTCCAGGATGCCCAGCCCCATCTAGCTTGAATTATAATTCCTAAACCATTTCTTCTTGTTTGTTTGTTTTGTTTTGTTTGAGACAGGGTCTCACTATGTAGTTAAGACTGACCTGGAACTCACTATGTAGCCCAGGCTGGTCCTCCTGCCTCAGCCTCCCGAGTTCTGGGATTACAGGCATCTGCCACCACACGCAGCTCTAAACCACTTATTTCTAATCCATGCAAAGGGATGAATAAGGAAGCAATTCTGTATCAAAGGTCACTTCTCAAAGTGGAGCAGGAAGGAGGACTGGAACTTTCCCTTTTACTTCCCATATTTCAGTACTGAGTTTGATATATTGAGTTAGACCACCTTTATAGGGTAAAGTTATACAAATAAGAGAGAAAAACTCCAAAGCCAGGCATGATGGTGCAGGCCTGTAATCTCAGCACTCAGGAGGCTGAGGCAGGAGGATCACTGTGAATTACAGACCAACCTGAGCTATATAGTGAGTTCCAGGTCAGTCTCAACTGCATAGTAAGATCCTGTCTCAAAAAACCAAAAAAAAAAAAAAAAAAGAAAGAAAAACAGGAAATCTCCAGATGTACAAGGTTTTACTTTATTAATATCTATAAAATATGGCTATATTATTAGGAAAAGGTATTTCTGCTAAGTAAATTTTCCTCAAACAAAACTATTTTGCTTGGGGTTGGGGATTTAGCTCAGCGGTTCGGTGGCCTGCCTAGCAAGTGCAAGGACCCGAGTTCAATCCCCAGTACAAAAAAAAAAAAAAAAAAAAAAAACAACTATTTTGCTTTAATACAATCTGAAAGCTAAATTTATCACACCAAATAATTTAAAATTCCCAGTTCAGGTATCTAAAAGCATCTGATATCTATTCCTTCCACATTCTCCAGATGGTCTTGGCTTAAGTCTTATCTTGCTCTGATTTTAAATTTGTAAGTAGTTACAAAAACATGTGGAAAAAATAAATAAAAATAAAAATTAAAAAAAAAACATTTGGCAAAAGCTGAGTTAGACAAGGGATACCCATTCCTACCCAAATGAAGAGAATATAAGCTCATTATGGAAAGAAAGGAAACAAGATAACTCATAATTCTTCCATCAAGCCAGGCGTGGTAGTGCATACCTGTGATCCCAGCACTTGGGAGGCTGAAGCAGGAGGATCACTGAGTTCGAGACCAGCCTAGGCTACACAGTGAGTTCCAGGTCAGTCTCAACTACATAGTGAGACCCCGTCTCAAAACAATACATAATTCTTCCATCAAAACATAACCTCATACTGGGGTGTGTACCTACCTGGGCAATTTAGAGAGACCTTGCCTCAATATAGGGGAAAAAAATACATCTAAAAAATGTCTGTGGATGTAGCTCAATGTGAAGGCCCTGGGTTCAATGCCTAGTACGGAAAGAGAGACAGACAGAGAGAGACAGAGAGCCAGAGACACAGACACGAGGAGATCCACAAGGCACTGGGATTACAGGTGCACACCTATAATTCCAGCATTTGTGAGACTGAGACTGGAAGAACATATTAGAGGTCAGCCTGTACTACAGAAGACTCTGATTCAAAAAAACCAAAAACAACAGACAAAAACAAAAAATTCACAACTTCAGGGACTAGGAATGTAGTTCAGTGATAGAGTCCTAAAACCCTCATATACCTTTTCTTCTGTAATTTTTTTATGTGGTTATAATCATACTATATGTATCATACGTATCAGGATATAAATATTGAGTGAAATGAAATGCAAGTATGCTAATGAAATCACTGACTATAAAATTATGCTAAATGATTAGTAACTATCAATATTTTGCTTTTTAATTGAACTTTTAAAAAAACTGTATTAGGACCAGGGATTAGCTCAGTGGTTCTGGTGCCTGCTTCACAAGTGCAAGGACCTGAGTTCTATCCCTGGTACCAGAGGAAAAAAACAAAAAACACTTCCTAGTAAAAAAAAAAAGTATATTAGGGCCGGGGGATTTAGCTCAGAGGTTCGGTGGCCTGCCTTGCAAGCGCTAGGACCCGAGTTCAATCCCCGATACCAAAAAAAACAAAACAAAAAATTGTATTAGACTGAGCTTGATAAAATGCCTCCTTTTTAGAACCTAATGTAAGTCTCTTTTTTGGAAGACTTCTCATCTCAATATCAAATAAGTATGACAGAATCTCAGTGGTTTCTATTTCCTACCTTCCCATTTCCTGTATCATAAATGTTTTACGGCTCCACCTAGTCTTGCTAAATGGAAACTAAGTGTGTCTGTTAAAGATTCTCACTCTGAGAGTAGGTAGGGTGCTTGCCCATTATATGTGAAGCCCTGGTTCAATCCCCAGTACAGGGAAACAAAGATGCCCATTCTGTAGATCTCTAAAATACATAAAACACCTGACAGGAATTTGGGAACCAAACAGACAACTTAAGTATGGCAAAGAAAAAAAGAAAGAAAACAAAAGACTTATAAGAACAAAACAAAACAAAACAGTAGAAGAAAATGTTCCAGCTGTCCCAAATGGGCAGAGCATACAAAAAATCTGTACAGATTAGTCAAATAGTTGTTATATTATTTTGGCAGCCTGCACACCTATTCCCCACCCTTTTTTATTTTGAGACAGGATCTCTCTAAGTCACTAAGTTGTCAAGGCTGGACTCAAAACTTGTACTCCTCTGGCTTCAGTGCTGTGAATACAGGTATATACTGTCATACCTGGCTATTTGGGGAAGTTTTGACAAGTTTAAAATTACTTATAAACTGTCAATTTCCTAAATACCTACACTCATTGAATAAAAGTATACAAGAGACTTGATAACTCACAGAAGTTTGATATTGGACTGGCCTGCTCTAATGAACCAAATGCAATAAAAGGGAGATTACTGGGACAACTGACAAAGAGGACACATACGACAGAAGAGATAGAAATAAAACATCCCGGGGGCTGGGGATTTAGCTTAGTGGTTCTGCTGCCTGTCTTGCAAGCATAAGGTCCCAAGTTCGATCTCCGGTACCAAAAAAAAAAGAAAAAAAAAGCAGAAAGAAAGAAATGAAACATCCTGGATTTGGGGCAGTGGTCCCGCCGCCTGCCTCACAAACTCAAGGACCCACATTCAAACCCTGATACCAAAAAAAAAATCCTGGAATTGATAACTATTTCTAGGAAATAGGCAATAAAGTACTGGGAAATAAAGGGTCATGATGTACTAACATCTATTCAGAGGCTGAGGCAGTAGGATTGCCAGGAGTTTGAGGACAGACTACATAGTGAGTTCAAGGCCAAGATGGACTATAAGCAAAAAAAAAAAAAATTCAGAAAAGTAAACATTAATATATAGTTGAGACAGGAAGGACATTAATAAATCTCAACAAAAGATTTAAGTGAATGAAATTTCCTGGATTATTTCTGTAATTCTAGACAAATTTGAAATTACTTAAAAATACTAAGTATATAAAACAATTTCTCTGAGGGAGTTAAAATCTCACCCTTAAATGCAAGTAATTTGAAATATAAAGATAACACTGCTAGGGGCAGGGGCAAATGAACCATAAGTCAAGAGCATGCTTCCACTGAGTCTCTCACCTTGCTCATGTCCACCAAGATCAAAAGTGGTAAATGTCATTCCAGCAATTGTCAGCTCTTCTGATGCTGAAAGATCATCAAAAGGAAAAAAGTAATTTTTCCATCTGAATACCCAACTACCAGTACTGCAAGCCAAAACTGGGGCAAAACTTAATGAAGCTTTCACCTTCTAAAGAAAAGGAGACAGATGTGAAAACATTCTCGGCCTACTCTAAATGGCAATTCTGCTTCTTAGATGTGATACAGAAGAAGTGCCCCTTTACAGAACCAGTGAGGAGAGATTGTAACAAAGCTCCAGAGGTCTAGATCTGTAAGTAAGTGGCCTGAATATGTTCTAGGGTAACTTGGGCGAGCTGGCTTCTGGGACCTCAGGGGTTCATCCTCCCAGCCTGACATTGACCTTCAATGATAACAGGTCACCTGGTATTTTCAAACCTACTCGGATGTAGTGTTGGAACATGCTGGCCCAGCCTGTCATCTTTGAGCATGTGAAGAAGAGTTGTTTTGCCCGCGTTGTCCAAACCCAAGAATACAAGTTTTCCAGATTTCTTGTACAGTCCTAAAAAAGAAAAGAAGTTTTAATGTAAATTGTTCTCTACATACCTGAAGGCTGCTTGCATTTAAACTGTTGGGGAAATGCACAAGTGATTATTATTATTATTATTGTTATTATTTTGAGACAGGGTCCTGCTATGTAGTTGAGGCTCCTCTCGAACTTGTGGCAATCCTCCTGTCTCAGCCTCCCAAGTACTGGGATTACAGGTGTGTGCCACCACGTCCAGCTTACTGCACACAGTTTTAAACCTACAACCTACTTCAAGAAAATGGCTTTACCTAAGAACTGGAGCACACTGCTGAAGCCATTGTAGATCCACTCAAAGATGAAAGACATTGTTAATGCTTAGTACCTGTATAAAATAGAAAAATAGTGAAATTAGTCTTCTGACTGCCAATACAGTGTTGGAGAAGTTAACTCTTATTCCATCCCCTGATGTACATTCAGCATCAGGTTTTCTAGCTGAAGAACTCAAAGATAAACTAATCTTCCCCCTTGAGACAAGGATTTCAAACCCTCAAAGGAAGCCTCTAGTATCCTCCTGCTGCACAAATTCATGATTTCTTAATAGTTATTAATACTCAGAAAATAGAAGTTATACTTTCCTCTTTCACTGTGTGACTTACTTCTCCAGGCAGCTGCTCATTCATATCCCCCCAAATACAGCACTGCTGACTAACAGTTAGCAGCACCTCTAAGAAATCAGTCTCATCAATAATCTGGATCAATTAGCCATAGAGAACCCAGATGCTGTAACACACGCCTATAATCCTAGCTAGTACTTGGGAGGGCTGAGATAGGAATATCTAAGTTCAAGGCCAGCCCAGCCTGGAAAACTTACCAAGATCTCTCCAAAACTAAAATTTAAAAAGGGCTGGGGATATAACTCAGTGGTAGAGTACCTGCCTACTTGCCTATAAGTAAGAGGCCCTAAGCTCAATTTCCAGTACCACCTCCCCCACCCTCAAAGGCCACAGATGTACTATGGAGAAAACAAGAGTGAAAGTGTATTAACCTATCCTTGTACACAGTTCTAAAAACCAAAGTCACCCAAAATTCCATTGGCTGTCACAATTGTCCCTGCTCATTTTATAAATATTTTTTCTTCTTAAACAATTATTTGCTTACCCCTTTGCAGTTATGTTTCAACTATAAAAAGAACCATGAGGCCAGACACAGTGATACATGCTTTTAAAATCCCAGAGACAGGATGGAAGATCACAAGATCAAGTCCCATCTGGGCAATTTAGTGATACCCTGTCTCAAAATTAAAAATAAAGTCTGGGGGTGTGGGGATTTAGCTCAGTGGTTCCGGCACCTGCCTTACAAGCGGCAAGGGCCAGAGTTCGATCCCCAGTACAAAAACACAAAAATAAAAGTCTGGGAATAGAACTCACTGGCACAATTCCCCTGGATTTGATCTCTAGTTCCACCGACATCTCCCAAAATAGGAACCATGAAGAATCCTAGCACTCTGGAAGGATGAGGCAGGAGGATTTAAGTCTGAGCCCAGCCTGGGCAAACTGGCACATCCCTGTCTCAAAATAAAAAAATTTTTAAACATTTTTTTAAAAGGGATAGGGGCCAGGCATGGTGGTGCACGCCTGTAATCTCAGCACTCGGGAGGCTGAGGCAGGAGGATGCTGTGAGTTCGAGACCAGCCTGGGCTACATAGTGAGTTCCAGGGCAGTCTGAACTACATAGTGAGACCCTGTCTCAAAAACAAAACAAAAAGGAATAGGGATGTAGCTCAGTGCAAAGGCACTGGGTTCAATCCCTAGTACTGAAAAAAAAAAAATCCTTTCATGTTAAAAAGTCAAAACCCACTTTAAAAAATTCTTATTTTGGGCCAGGGATTTAGCTCAGCGGTTTGGTGGCCTGCCCTGCAAGTAAGCGCAAGGACCCGAATTCAATCCCCGGTACCAAAAAAAAAAAAATTCTTATTTTCTTAAAATACTCATTCACAATATAGCAGTAGGTTCTTAAGCAGTTAAATATCTCAATTAGTACTGATATTAACACATTTATTCCCATAAACCTAGACAAAACAATCACTTGAAGTTACTAACAGGTCTACACACATTTGTACAAAATGGGCTCTCATGCCAGGAATACTTTGAACTCCCAGGGCTCAAAGCTTCCTCCTGCGTCAGGCTCCCAAACAGTGAGGACTGCAGGGTGAATGCCAGCCCCATCTATATATTCTTCAAATAGTGCTAGATGGAAACTGGAAAGAAAGACAGTGTATACTTTTCCTTTTCATCAATTACTGGGTTATTATCTATAAAGCAGGACCTATAAACTTTAGGGCCTATTTACTGCTTAGGTTTCAAAGCTCTTCTTACCATAGAGCAGTGATGCCAAATCTTTTAGGGCTTTCAATGTTACAAACAGCCTGCCGTGGCACGTGTGCCATAGGTCCACCACCACTGCCACAGAGGGACAAAGTGTGGGAATTTAAATGAAGGTACAGATCAAAGGGGAAACTTACGAAAAGATCTTAAATGAGAGGTTTTCTTGCTCATTTCTAACATATTTTGGCAGTGGCTGGGGATATAGCTTAGGGGTAGAGTGCTTGCTTAGCATGCCCATGGCCCTAAGTTCAATCCCTAGCATCACCAGAAAAATGAATGAATGAATGAATAAATGAATGAAAAAGAAAACACAGGGAGACACACACACACACACAGAAGCAGAAACAGAGTACATCTGCACATTTAGCATGTTAAGTAATAGTACTATCTGCAAAGTTTGGACTTTGAGAAGTACAATAATTTATGTACTGTACTCTTATTAAAAAATGATCCTATTCTTGGCCAAGCGTGGTGACATATGCCTGTAATCCCAGTACAATGGAGGCTGAGGCAGGAGGACTGCTGCAAATTCCAGGCCAGCCTGGGCTACATAGTGAGTTCAAGGCCAGCCTGAACTATATCATTAAGACCCTATCTGAAAAAAAAAAAAAGTCCCATGCTTAAGTTCCCATTTACCACAGGTAAGTAAAAGCAATAAGCCTTTCCTCTACAATCCCTGCAAATCAGCCATCCTTGCCAAGTCTGCTCAGTCTGTTACTTAGAGAAGCACAGCCTGCCTTTAGAGAGCACCTCTTACAGTTACTCCCACACTGCCCGCTCCTCTCCAACGCAGCACTTCTCTATCCACTTACACTATACAGGGTGTATGCCATACTTTCAGACTCTCTTTCCAATTTTACCACATCATTTTAGAAGTATTCCCAACCAAGTGGATTCTATAAAAGCTACAAAGGCAAAAACTCACACGTACATGATTTGTTTTTCTGCTTGTTTTTTGAGACAAGATTTTTGCTATGTAGTTCAGGCCGTCCTTGAACTCACCATGTAACCCAGGCTGGCCTCAAACTCACAGTGACCCTCCTTGCTTCAGCCTCCAGAGTCCTAGGATTACAGGCAAGCACCACCATGCCAGCTGTTAGGGATTTTTTTATGTAGTGAGTGAATTACTTTGACTTTTTATTTTCCCTTGGCATTTCTGCTCTAAAAGCCCTACAATTCTTCCTTCCAAAGGATCTATGGACTGTGAAGAAACTGAAGATCACACACACAAAAACACTATAGCCAAAGAGTTGAGTTGTACTGCTACACAAAGTGGAAAAAAAAAAAGGCCATGATGATTCCTCCATCCTTGAGATCTCAGATTTATACCAACTCATCAGCAGTTATGAAATTATAATATACAGTACTTGCACACACACACACCTCCCATTTCAACCTTACACCAAGGCTATCAAGCGCTGGCCTCATTTAACAAGATGAGCATGCCGACTCTAAAGGAAGCTGACTGCTCAGCTGAAAAAGCTGACAGCTCCAGGACTTAAACTCTCTCCCTTTTTAACACCAAACCCAAAGCCCTTTTTGATAAGAATAACATAAAATTAAAATCCAAACCAGAGAATTACTTTTAAACAACTTACTTCCTTAGCCCTGCAACTATACAAACTTCACATTTTCTGGCTATTTTAATAATTGGCATTCTGTTGGGGGGTGGGGCAGGGTCTCACTATGTAGCCCAGGTTGGCCTTGAAATTGCAGTGAACCTCTTGCCCCAGACTCCTGTGTGCTGGAATTATAGGCGAGGGTCACCACACCTGGCTGATTTTCTATTCTTGATCCACTCCATCAACTTACAGCAAATCATAATACTCAATTTTAAGGGTCCCAAAGACCAACAAAAACACCTCTGTACTTAAAAACTTGTAAATTTCAGGACTGACTGAAATATATACAAAGGAGAAGCAGCAAACTGATCATCAGCCAATAAAATATTTACACATTACTTCTGGTTTTGTTTTTGTTTTTGTTTTTTTGAGACAGGGTCTATTTATGCAGTTCAGGCTGGCCTCGAACTCTCTGATCCTCCTGCCTCAGTTCCCAGAGCACTGAAATTTTCTTTTCTTTTGGTACTGGGGATCGAACTTGCGCTTGCGAGGCAGGCGCCGCCACCACTGAGCTAATTCCCTGACCCATCCAGAGCTCTGAAATTAAAGGCATATACCACTTCGTCCAGCTTACATTACTACACTCAGAACAAATTCAAGACACTAATGTAGACACATCTAGGGTAGCAGATAGCTGGCTTTTTGCTATGAAACTCTGCTTAGCTAGGAAGGGATGTCACAGATCGGCCCCATGGCAAATCTTTCTAAACCTGTCTCAGCCTAAGCAGATGCACTCAGACGAATACTCACAGAGGCAATTTGATGTCTGGCTTTTCCGCTTGAATTGTGAATCGTGAAGATAACACTTAACTATGCCAAATGTAAATTTTTCCATGCACAGGACAAGGGGGGAAAGGGGAGGAGAAAACACGGGGTTATACACAGGACATCAGATGGCGCGGGGAGGAGCCCTGAATAAGGACCCTGTAGACCTGGTCTGCGCTCACACCTGCTAGCTTCCGGGCCTCGCAGGGTCTCAGTCCTTGAGTCTGTAGAACAAGGCTGATCATCACAGGCTTTCCTCCCACCGGCCCCACTGAGGACTGAAGCTCATCCGATTGGGGACAAAAAAGGTTTCACAAACCAGAGCTCCGGCCCAGCAGCTGCAAGACTCCCCAGTGGAATGCAGGTGGACCCCATACCCCAGAGGCCCGCAAGAGATGGATCAGACCCGGCCGGGTCGGCCCGTCCCCGCCCAGAACCAGTCCCGTGGCCCCACAGAACCGCCTGCGTGTCACTCCCCCCCCCCATCCTGCCGAGGCCGGCCTCCGCCCCGACCCTCTTCATCGACCGCCCCAGTTCCCTGGACCACGGCTGCCTCCGCCGGCTCAGCCCTCTGACTCACAGCCCTAGGGGCTCCTCCAGCGGCAGCGGGCGGCTTGGACCCTCCTCAGAGCGCACAGACCAACAGCACCGGGGACCGCCAGCTACTCGCCGGATGTACGTCACACCCCTCCTCCTGGGCTTCCGGGGGCGCTCGTCCCGCCCCCCAGCGTCTCGCGGCTCTGCCCAGGTGCCGCCCTACCAGTGACCTGGGCCGCGGAGGGGCGGGCCTAAACCTGACGTACGGCACTCTGGGGCGCGCCCCGGCACCTCCCAGCTCTCTTGGATTCTGCAAGCCGCGCGAGACGTGGCAGCGCCTGGAAGGCGGGTGGGTGTGTGGTCCCAGGATCCTGCTACAGTGGGGGCGCCAGCTACCTCGCCTGCCGAGTGCCCTGCGCCCTCGGGCACCCCCGAGAGACCAGAAGGCGCCTTGGACTGATGGGTAGGTAGGTTCTAGAAAAACGAGTTGACTCTGGGCCGATTGACCTCAGTGGATGCCACCAAGCTAATGCATTAAGTCACGTCTCCCTGCCCAGGGATAGCCTAGCTTGAGAAAAACAGCTATTTATTGAGCACTTAGGTTCCAGATACTGCGTTGGGCCCTTGGCGTGCTACATCTCAGTTAACTCATTTCTGTCGAATGAAGCAGATGCTTTATCAACCCCATTGTTCGCGGGACAGAACCGAAGTTCACGCAAAATGACCAAGCCTGAGCGCAGCTACGTGGCAAAGCAACGTGTTGTCCCCACCATACCGTGCTTCTCACACAGGACGGCCCTGAGAGGTTGGTATTTTCCACATTTCACAGAGAAAGCAGTCGAGGAGAAAGATGATGCTTTTAGATAGGAAGATTCATAGCATGAAGATCTCAGTGCTCCTTGAGTAAAACTAGAATTTTAGGCCGGATGTGGTGGCCCCGCCTGAAATTCAGCACTCTGGGAGGCTGGGACACAAGTTTAAATCCCTGGGAATCCATGACTTAGGGAGACTTTATCCCCGAAATAAACAAATACTGTAACCAAAACTTTTTAAATGTAGCTGGGAATAGCTCAGTATGAAGATCTGGGTTCAACCTCCAATACTGAGGAAAAAGATAGAAATTTAACATAATTCCGAACAATAGAACTAGTAAAATTAGTAGGTTGTCCACAGTCTCCAGTCAGCCTTTTCTAGGTAGCTATCCTACATTGTGCTTCTGCTTTTTTGCTACCATTGTAACCTCTTGTATTCATGCAATATATTTTGAGGTACTGGGTTTATTGAGATAATTCATATATAACTCACTCCCTTTTCAGTATTGAGTATTGAACATGGAGCCTTCACACTACATCACCAGCCCTTTAAATTTTGTTCTGTTTTGTTTTGAGTCTTGCTGTATAATTCAGGCTGGCCTTGAACTCCCAGCAGTCCTCGTGCCTCAGTCCCCCAAGTGCTGGGATTACAGGAATGAACCACGATGCCTGGCTGAATTTTTTTTTTTTTTTTTTTTTTTTGTACCAGGGATTGAACTCCAGACCTTGTCCTTGTGAGGTACACGGCAGCACCACTGAGCTAACTCCCCCAGCCCAGTTTTTGGTTTTTCAATTTTGAGACAGGATCACACTAAGTTGCCTAGGCAGAACTCAAAACTTTTTTTTTTTTTAATACTGGGGATTGAACTTGGTATCTCGCCCTTGCAAGGCAGGCACAGCACCACTGAGCTAAATTCCTAGCCCAGGACTCAGACTTTTGATCCTCCTACCTCAGCCTCCCAAATGCTGGTATTACACATGTAAGTGCCAGAAGTGCATAGCAAAATTCATCCATTTAGTGTAAAATTCAGTGATTTTTAGTATATTGAGTTTTATAACTACAACTATTATCAATATAGAATATTTTCACCATCACTTCCCAAAAAACCTAGTACAGTCACTCCAAATCATCTCCCCTCACCCCAGCCTCCAGCAACTATTAATCCCCTCTGTTTCTATAGCTTTGCCTATTCTAGACTTCATGTGAATAGAAACTATGCGAAATGACCTTTTGTTCTGGCTTCATTCACTTAACATCTTGTTGTTCAAGTTTCATCCATGTCCTCCATGTAGAGATACTTAACTCTTATTGATGGCTGAGTAATATTCCTCAGTATGTGTCTGTCACATTTTATTTATGCATTCGTGAGTTAATGGATATTTAGAGTAGCTATACTCTTTTCTCTGTTCTGCGATTTGTCTATAATTTTTGTTTGAACATGTGCTTGCTTAGCTGTATATCTAAGTGTATAATTGCTGGGCTGTATCACTCTTAACCATTTGAGGAACTGCTAGTTTACAAAGTGGTTGCACTGTTTACACTCCCACGAGCAATGCAGAAAGTTCCAAACAGTGTTTTTACTGTATGTTATGATTTAGATTAGAAATGTCCCCTGAAAGTCTCTTGGGCCTTCAGAAGGTGACTGGATCATGGGGTTCTAACTTCATCAAGCAGATTACTCCATTGATGGATCATAATTTGGTGACATTATTGGGACATGATGCAAACAGGAGTTGAGCCTTGTTGAAGGGAGCAGAGTATGGAGGCACGACCTTGGCGACTATGGTCCCAGCCCCTTTGTCTCTGGCTGTTTCTTTCCCTTTCTGCTTCTGGCTGCCTTGTGGTGCACAGCTCCGTATTCTTCCTCATCTCCAGCTACAGCAACGGAACCAGCAACCATGGACTGAAACCTCTGAAACTGTGAGCCAGAATAAACTTCCCCTCCTGTGCGTGTCAGGTGTTTTGTTCCCACAGTAAGAAGCAGATGAACACCTGATCTCTTTACCTGTGCTCTCCTGGAAGGCAGTGTGAACTTGTATTTGGCCATGCCAGCTCTTGGTTCAATGGGGCATCAGGTCAACTTACAACATGTTTATTAGACGTCAGGAAGCCTGTCCAATCCAGTCTGCTGATGGAAGTGGTGGGTCACTAGGCAGCAGTATTCAGAGCAGAGTAAGATCGCTTAGCAGAATTCACAGCACAAAGTAAGGAAGTCCCATAGGAGAAGTTCATTGTAGGCCAGCAATCCAGGGAGTCTCCCCCTGGCTTCCCCTGGGAGCCTGTTAGAAACAGCTTCAGATTCCACGGGTGTCTAGAAAATTAGAATCTCTGTGTTAAGGGCCCTGTAGTTGGTTTTAACAAGTGCTGAAGCTAATTCTGGTGCACACTGAAGTTTCAGAAGCACATTTATTCTAAGATTTGTGCGTGTGTGTGTGTGTGTGTGTGACTTAGTTGCATACCCAGCCCTTTATTATTTTTATTTTGTGACAGAGTTGTTACTGGGGTTCTGGGGTGCCGCCACTGCACTGTGACTCTTGTTTTTACACTTGATCTTAGCCAAAAGGCTGAGAAGCAATGGGACCCCTGTTTTTAATTAGATCCATAATGTAGGTGATCTTGCTAGGGCTATGGCTGTCGGGCTCTTGGTATTCTACCTAATATCCCTCTTCACCATGCTTTCTCCTCCACAGGAAACTGTGGAAACTTCAATTGCTAGATCTGTCATTGTCCCACCTGTTTCAACAGACCAAGGAATATTCTGGCCTATTCATTCTCATAATTAGGCCCTGCATCCTCAACCTAATATTGTACAGTTTGTCCATTCAGGGCTTCAGATAGTGACCCAGACTGCAGCCCATCACTCTCCTGACAAATTCACCAAGCTTTTGCCCATTGAACTGGCAGTTCAACAGTTCTGCACATATAGGCACTGGCTCCTTTCTTATTCTGACAAGTTTTGTTTTGTTTTTTCCAACCCAGAGACTGAGCCACAAGTTATTCTACACTTGATCTTAGCCAAAAGGCCGAGAAGCGATTCCTTTGTTATTCTGACAAGTTTTGTTTTGTTTTTTCCAACCCAGACAGTGAGCCACAACGTCCCAAGATAATTGGAGACCATTTAACCCCCAGTAGTAGGTAGGGTCTCAGTCCCTTTCAGCCAGAAGTAGCTACATGAAGACACAGAGTGCCATACTCTCAGTGTCCCATAGAGAATTATGGGGATTTATGTCTCTCTAAGGAGATGAGGCAGGATATTAGAGAGCTGCCAGCCAGCTAGGCAAGTGGGAATGAGCTGTCAATCACAGAGATCCAGAACACATACCCAGAAAAACACTTCCCAAGCCCTGCACCTGGGACCAATCAGAAAGTGCTTTCTTCATTTTGTCTGGTATGAAATCAAACAGGTTTTTGGTAAGACAGCCTAATCTGACATCACCTTGAGGAATGGGAGGTACAAAAGAGGATGTCTCGTGGCCACTCTGCTCTCCCTCATTGGCTCACTCTTACTCTGTAAGATGTACTTCCCTTCTGACCTTTAATTGGCCTGCACTGGCTCTGCAGAACACACTTCTTTTCCTACCTTTAACAAATGTAAAAATCTCACTTTTCCTGTGTTTTGCCCAATTCTTTGTTCAAGACACCAAGAACCTGGAATCTCTGAAAAGAGCCCACAGCACCCCAAAACTCCTTTAACAGGGTCTCAGTCACTAACTTCCCTAGGCTGAGCTTTAACTTGAGATCCTCCTGCCTCAGCCTTCCAAGTGCTGGGATTACAGACCTGTACCACCACAGCCACTGCCAGTCAGGTTTCTGCAGAAGCTTTGTAAAGGTGCCTATTCATCAACTTGCATTCTACTTCTAGGAATTTATTTCAGGGAAAAAGTCAGATTTTTTCTCCCCAAGATTTCTTTATAAAGATCATTGATTAAAACCACAGAAAATGAAATAAACTGAAAGGTAAATTATTGGAAATTAGTTGAATGAATTATTACATATATTCACTGTATAATTAATTGAGTCATTTTATATAGTATTGAATGTTTTTAATTATTTGTATGTTTTTTGAGACAGGGTCTCACCATATAGTTCAGGCTGACCTTGAATTCACTAGATAGCCCAGGCTGGCCTTGAATTCATGGAGCTGCTCCTGCCTCAGCCTCTCTTAGGTGTTGGAATTACAAGCATGTGCCACTATGGCCAGCATTTAAATATTTTTATAAAAGAAGAAAAGTTCACATGTGGAGTTCAAATGGCAAGTTACCAAGGTGTGATTCGTTTCTCCATTCCGATATTGATGTGCACATGCTGATTCTCGTTATTCACTGTGGCCATACTTTGCCGTGTCAC